TTAAATAAAGAGTTAAAATGTGCAATATGAAAGTATTTTTAAATAAATTTATTTATTTTAATAATAATTTAATAATAAAAAATATTTACATTTTTAATGAATCTATTTTGATGAAATTGTAGGGTTGCCATAGAACCGGGAAAACTGGGAAAAGTCAGGGAAATTGAAATTGATCATGGAAACTGAGACACGTTCAGGGGAAAATGTAAAAAAGTCTGGAATTTCGAAATTTGCTCACAATTCCCTGAAACTGCTGAAAACTGCAATAAACAGTATTTTTAAATAAAAGATTGCTTATTAAAATCTATAATGATATTTTTGAAAAATTGGAGAAATTGATTACATAATAGGATGATACAGAAATGTCACAAATATATTGCGGCTGTAAGAAATGCTTTCATTATAACACTAATCAAGCTCTTAGTTCGAGGATCTTCACGTGCAGGTCGTTTATTATCATCCTCCCATAAGGATCCCATTAACTGAAAGCGTTATGTTCCAACACGCGTTACTCATTTTCGCGAATATAAGACCACGACGTCAGCGATTTCACGTGTAGAGAAACGGGAAATAGTTATCCGTAGTATGAATCCGGATGGCGTCGAAATGCTTTTATCGCTGAATTTTACGTACCGCTAGTGCTTGTCAGTAGTATCATAAATATCGCATGTGACATCTTAATCGCATCGCGTATGTTGTTCCGTTAATCTTAATCTTGTATCAGTACCTACACGAAATGGATCTCGCTGATTTGTATGTTACGGTCCACGTCTCTTCCATATAATTATAATATTTCATTTGTAAAAAATTTCTCATATGTTTTTTTTCTTTCTGAAAATTAGCTTGGAATTTTAAGTATCACATTGAAATTATTCAAATATACTTTTTTAATGTATAAAAAGATATTTTTCTTAATGGGATTGTTTTATTTTCAAATTTTCAGAATTTATTTTAATTTTGCGTAAATAATTTGCGAAAATATTTTTATAGAAATTTTTTTTGTAAAAAGAGCAGCATAAATTAAATTCTTCAAACGTGGGCAATTTTACATAAATACATATTTGATAAATTTGACACATTGATACAAATTATTTGATATTTTAACCAACGTATCTTGCAAGACTTATCTTATGTTGCCTTCAAAATAAATGTTTAATTAATTTATCGTTTGAAGATTAAATTATTCGAAACTAATTAATGTCAATATAATTCGTATTTTGATATAGATAATCTCTTTTCATGAGATATCAACTTCATAGTTTCTTATTCGCGCGTAATCCGCTTATATTTATATTTATATAAAAATCCACTTATATTTATATTTAATTCGTTTCCTTTAGCGTTGAGCAAACAAAAATCTAAATGCAAAACATTTGACGCTGTGATTAAGATTTGTTTGAGATAGATTTGTAATTGACTATTTATTTTTCTTGAAATTTTTAAAAAAGTGATTGGCAGTGATTAAAATTCAATTTTATTTTAATAACTTAAATCCCTGGAACAAGCTCCTAAAAAGAAAGCTCAAATAGCACGCAGCGCTTACAAAGCGCTAAAAAAGCGCATATAATCGCTTTGTAAGCGCTA